TTGTGTGATCGTACGTGCGGCATTAGCCTTGCCTGAATTATAGTTCCACTGCATTTGTGCGCATTCACTTCTGCGGGTCGATTAATTATGCACATAACTCTTAAAGCTTGCGGCACAATCAGAGACAATGTTGGGGCGCTGCAGTCGAGATCTACCGCGCAGCCAAAACCGAAACTGCTCAACGTTTCCTTTTTTTGCTCTATTTCTTCCTCATATCGTCTGTGTGGGTTTCGTTCTTTGTTGTTAGTGCTGTGCGAAACGTGCTCAAAAGCCCGAGACATGGATGGATGCATATGTAGGTTTCGTGGGTGGACGTAAAAAGACATCACAACAAAGGCGAGCGAGCATACACAAAGCGCTGACGTCACGGGCTAAACCTCCCCCCTTGGCATAATTTCACGATATGGTGTGTGTGTGGGGGGGCAAGTTAGGTTCTGCCGCGTTTCTTGCTATTTGCTTACGTACCGGCAAGCTTTCCCTTCGCCGAATAATGGTCAGCGCACGCTGTCACGCTTAATTACTGGTTTCCGTGCAAGCACCGCGCATATATGCCGGCATGATGGGTGCAATTCGCGTTGCATGAGCCTGCGAATGCCGCATTCTCCCTTATTTAACAACAATACGATCTCAACGCATTTTCACACTTACGAAAAAACTGCGATTACAGCTGGGTGTTAGTTGATCGCTTCGTCACGTTATTGTATCTCTTAAATTAGTTTTTGTTGGGATTAATTCACTCACCGAAAAGAAGACGGGTGCCTAATCCGCAAGATTACGCCAAAGCGTCAGATGCAAGGGGGAAATATGAATTAATGTATGCGTGCAGGATGTGAATTGTTATTAGTGTCAGCTCAAGCTTTTCGAGATAAACGATACAACACACAGTATGTCGCAAAGAGGGCGAACGAACAAGCGAGCAAATAAATCAATGAATGTGTGGTGCTTCTAGTACCGGCACTGAAGATGCCTTCAAGATGAACTACACAGTTAGGTGCAGCGCGGTAACTGTGCAGCCGACACAAGACCCGCATGTCCGATCCCGATCACTGCACTATATTCCGGCGCGCACCGCAACGTATCACTGCGCCCGATTCTCTAAACACACACATTCCGCTTCCTTCGCGGCGCTGCACCGTATTCTAAAGTGACCGCGGTGGAACATAGCCATTGCGTTGACGCGAATACGAGCCGCCGCAGTCCCTCTCCGTTGCATGGGCTGTGACGCTCGCCTCCTTTCTTCTTCTTCTTCATTATTATTAGCTTTTATTTCGCCACCGCGCGGCTGGCGCCTCCCCCCTTACCTGGAGGTCGTCGGACGGCCTCCCAGGCTCCGTGCCGGCATTTCGGGAGAGGAGAAAATGGCGAGAGTTCCATATCCTCTCCTTCCTGCGGAACTGGTCAAATAGACCGCCGCCTGTTGTGTGTGTTTGTGCGCGCACGTGCGTATGTATCTGTGTGTGTGTGTCGTCTACACCACACCACCACCTCCGCAAGCAGTGGCCCGCGTGATCAGGCAGAGATTTATTTACTACAGTCTGAGTTGTCTTTCCTTTTTCGTGCTCCCGGTACACGCGCTCCATCTGGGCAGTTATCTAGATAGCTAGCGCTGGGATCGGGAACGCCAGTTCACTTATTCCGGTTCTTGGGAATGTTTGGGCAGTCTACAAGGCCGAGCACACGTGCATTCGCGCGCCTGCTTTTTTTTTTGTTATGGTTATAAATGTTATTATCAGTGTTTGTTTCCGGAAAGAAGATGTTGATAGATATGTAGGGTTTAACGTCCCAAAACCACCATATGATTATGAGAGACGCCGTAGTGGAGGGCTCCGGAAATTTCGACCACCTGGGGTTCTTTAACGTGCACCCGGAAAGAAGATGTAGTGCTTTTGTCTAACCAGACCTCGTTGTGATCGGGAACTAGTTGCAACTTAGCGGGACAACCGATACGTCTCTCGTGGGCGTCTAACCTTGCCGCTTTGCGAGCCGACTCGTAATCTAACTGTACTCGGTGACCCAACAGCCGAAGAGTTCAATCTTACGCCATGAAGCAATGGTGTACCTGCTGCTTTTCGCTTGTGAAAAAGGGGGGGGCATGCCAACTGACATCGCCATAAGTGTCTTTGTGCTGATAATGTAAATGCTAGGGTTGTTTAAACATAAAAGCTCATTGTTAATCAAAAATATTGTACTTCGCGGGGTCTCGATGTTGAGAGCATCACGCTCTTGGAACACGGACACAGTAGACGTGGTCAGAACGAACCTAAACTACACACATTTGCATAACTACTTTTTGATCGACGATATATCGTCAGCCGAATTATTATAACATCAATTGTGATCCACACGCTAAACAACCTTACACAGTATTACACAACACTCAACAACATGACAAACAAGGCGGTGCCGCTATAACGCCTGACTGGGCCCGCGGTGCCGTGCACCGGGGTCCCACTGCAGGAGGCAACCGTTCGCGCCAAACGCCGCCAGCCATAGAGACCCGCTCAACTCTCTCGTGCCGCCACCAAGGGTTTCCGCCAGGGGTCACCGCCGGCGCTACCGGTCTAACCATGATGATGATAGTGGTGTCAACGCTCGCGAACTCAACGCCACCTACCGCTCGGTAGTTGTGACCCCTAAATGCGGCATATGTGCGAGACACGTTCGCCTTGTGGCGCAGACAACTTTACAGGGGGCACCCCCACATTTTGGGTGGATGCGCTGACATCGGTGTCTCCCAGGAAATTAATCTGGGTATTCATGTTTTGTCCTCGAAACCAGCGGCAGAAAAGTACAGTCTCGAGCAATATGCTAAGGAGCAGTGAAAATCACCTTGTAAGATCCATGGTGGTTAAACGCAGTTAGCGAGCGTGGAAGTCTTCGTAACACTAAATGCTCAAGCAGAAAGGTATGTTTTGCAATTTTATGTGTCAGGCTCGTAAATATACATTACAAGTAATCATTGATTAAACATGAATTTTTTTGTGTGTGTTCCTTCTCATATTGCTCACGACTGTTCATTTGTACATTAATTGAAGAGAAAGTAAAGGTTAAGCCCAAACTCCATAAGCGCGAAAATGCACGCGACAGCGACGAGCGACGCTATGAGCGACGAAACAGGGCGTTCGCGCGACGTGTCGCGTGCTCGTTTTCGCGCGATCGCTCGGTTCTCCAGATTTGGAAACCGTCGCTCATCGCCCGGAAGTGCTGGGCTCAAGCAGCCAATAGCGAAAAACCGGAAAAGACGAAGACTACATAGGTGCACGTGACATAGGAGGCTATGGTCACGTATGCGCAACAAGAAATAACGCAATGTTTATTACGCATGTGCATATAAAAAAGTGCTGCAAGGCAATAATAAACACTTTCCGTTTCATTACACAACAATATATCTTATTTTTAAATTGGAAACCGCTCGCTACGCGGTTTTCTTGGTGCGAGTTGACGGCCTCATGCCAGCAACAGTGGAATTCGCTCGCCGAAGCCGTCGCGTGAATGAGGTTTGCCTGCGCTAGCGACTGATCGCGCGACGCCGATCTACGTCGCGTCGCTCGTCGCTGTCGCGTGCATTTTCGCGCTTATGGAGTTTGGGCCTTAAGGTTTCAGTTCTTAAATTTTACACCAAAGGCTCAGCACCTGAATCTCACTGCTATGCCGGAGATCTCAATTTGTTTTTCTTAGCCACATTGTCTGAATGAATTTTCACAAAACTTGCTATGTTTCACAAATCTCTGGCTCCCTTAGAACTCGGTGCAGTTCATTTTTGTAAAAAGAGTTCTTATTAGGCTCTAGCAGATGGTGTAAAACCATGATGTTGTGGTGAGCTCATGTGGAAATTGGGAGGGTTACAACCATCTATTTTCCTTTCGTGCATTTTTGGAATTCTCAGGTAACTTTTCATGAAAAGTCTGGTTCTTTTGGCAGTGTGATAGGGTAGTTTATTAACACGAGTGATGCAGTCCTTTCTTTTGGTGTCTTCTCAATGGGACAGTGAGGAGAAAATCCTTTTGTGTGTGTGTTGATAAATTACTATTTCACAATACAAAAAGCAGCATGCTAGCATACTATACTGAAAGCCCAGCTCTTGCCTAAAAAGTATGCTCTGCAGGCAAGAAAATATGCAAAAAAAAGAAATGCTGACAGCAACTGCATGTGGAAATTTAGACGGCTCACTGTAACATCACTGGTTTTGATAGTGTCTGCAAGGGCCTATGTCAGCGGTTCTCAAGCATGTTGGTGCCAGGAAATCCTCCCCTATCCCCAGCAAGCTTTCTTGATTTTTGTTTTCAATAAAAATAAAAGCACTGAAATGTGTTTATTGGCGCTCGTGCGTGAATAATGGAGGTTCCCCAGATTGATCACGCCTCGGAATCGCCATCCAAGCGAGTTGGGTGGTCGAGTGTTGAACCAGGGAAAATCGATAAGTGGCTCGCAGAACCCCAAAGAGGGGCCTGCGGAGCCCACTTTGAGAACCCTTGTCCTGCGTAGTTGCAGGTAGGTATAAGTGAAGTACGTTGTCTCAACAGAGAGGCAATGCCCCACGTTTCTGGAAGCATCGGTAAGCCAATGTGGCCAGACAATGAAAATGCTATTCGAAATCTGTGACCTCAGCCTCACGTTCATGTGCAGAGCTTTCGGTTCAAAATTTAAAAACCAAACTTTGGCATTCGTTTCATCTTGTATTAATAAGTCAATGATGGAGGTGCGAAGGACAGTAGGCTTCCTTGAGAATGACTTGTCAGCCCGAATTTATCGTTTCGCTCGAGTATTTCTTCGATGATTTAAAAACGAAGCTTTGGCATTCGTATCATCTTGTATTAATAAGTCAATGATGGAGGAGCGAAGGACAGCAGGCTTCCTTGAGAATAACTTGTCAGCCCGAATTTATTGTTTCGCTCGAGTGTTTCTTCGATGCTCTCGGAGCTTTTTCCAGGGGTAAAACCGCGTTGGCTGCGCGAAGTCTTGCGTTAATCGGTGCCTCTTTCTTTTTTTGTTATTTTCAGGTCTTCCCGACCCATTTTGCAAGATCAGCGTAGATGGATCGGGCCAGTGCCATTCGACGGATGCCTGTAAAAATACTCTCGATCCCAAATGGAATCAGCATTATGACCTGTGAGTCAGCTATTTCTCGACATACCTCTCTCTAGGGCTTGCATTTAAGTGAAGTGCCGTCAAGCGTGTGCTCGCTTGAATCATTATGGTGTGCACTGCCATATCATTTTTAAAACTTTTCAAATGTTTTGCACTTTGGAATCTCATTCAGGACATGGCTCGAGGTTTTTTAAAACTGATAGCGAGCGTATTGTCAAGCGGGGATCCTTGTCGTAAATATTCGCCTATGCATTGAGAAAAGAGAGAACCATTTTTAAGGATACAGATGAAATGGAATGTGAGTGGAGCCTCTAGTTTGGGGGCACTCTGGTCAGCTTGGTTAGACTTTGTTGAGAAGGGCCATCTTGGAACTGTCCTGTTCCTCATCTGCCAGCCATGCCTCGTTTTAGTGCCTGTTTCGAATTTTGTGTGTGTGTATGTGTATGTGTGTGTGTTTGCTTGTGGTCATTCTTTTCGCGCGTGCGAGCACAATGTGTGATGTGCTCGGTTGACACATAATCTTTTGTCGCTGCCGCAGGTACCTGAGCCGATCGGACTCGATTACGATCAGCGTGTGGAACCACAAGAAAGTCCAAAAGAAGCAGGGAGCCGGCTTTCTCGGCTGTGTGCGCATCATGGCCAATGCCATACAGCAGCTCAAAGACACTGGCTGTGAGTTTACTCTATCTGTGGATTTTTTTTTTAACTTTATGAATGCCGTATTCGTGGTAGCTGCAAGTGCGGCGTCGAAACCTAATTTTGTAAAGGGGTAAACTATGCAAAGTGAGGACTGTAGAAACAATGTTGGTTCCTACTTCGTGTGAATATAAAGTGGAGAAGGTCTACCCTCGTCCAACACCGGTCACAAGTGGGCGTAGACCTGTGAATTTAAGTGCATGCATCTCCACAATTCACTACCCACTTCTTTCTTAGTTACGAAAAATTCAGTACATTACTCGAAAAAGACTGTAGATGATAGAAAGGAAACACTCACTTGTTCCAATAAATCTAGTTGCATATTTTGTTTTCCAGTTGGATATTTTGTTTAGCATTACCATGGAACATTAACATGTGCAGGCATGTCCACAAACCAGTTAATGTCTTCCTATGTAGAACAGAGATTCACACTAGGCAACCTGTTATCTTGTTTCTGACTGACCAGCGGTTAGAATAGCCTGATTGCTTGCAACTAGTCTAGTCAGCATTTGGACACTGCTATTTGTATTACTAACTAGCACACTCACACATTGTTGCCTTTCCAGTATAGTGTTCTGTCTTATGCTACTCAACCTTTATTGTTCCCGTTAGACTAATGGCTTGAACTAGCCATCTTGCTTCCCAATAGCGTAGTTAGTGTCACAACGGCTAGACACTGCATTTTGTATTGTCAACTAGTGCAGTCTTACACATAGTTGCTGTTTCGCTATTGTGTTGTGCCCCATGCTTGCCAGCCTGTCCTCTTGTTCCCAACAGGTAAGCAGTTAGAATAGCTGTCTTGCTTCCAGCTAGTCTAGTCATCATCACACCCCTTTGTATTTAATTTTACTGTGCTGTGTATTGCACTTCACCAGAACCTAGACCAGCCTCATTGCTTTCAACTGACCTAGTCATCATGCCACTGGTTAGACAACGCGTTTTGTAATGCCAGCGAGCGCATTCCCGCACATTGTTGCATTTCCAGTATATAGCGCCATGACTCATGCTCTCCAACTTTTCTTGTTCTCTATAGACCAACGGCTAGACCTGATGAGGAATACGGCGGGGGAGGAGGGTGGGGACATCGTTCGTGGCCAGATTGTCATCAGCCTACTCTCCCGTGACGGGCACGGCCTGGGAAGCCAGAACGTTGTGGTCGACAACAACCTGAGCGCTCTCGCTTGCCACGAGGACCTGCCGGAAGGGTACGTTGGGTACCTTCATTGTTTGGTCACTCAAGTCCAGCTGGTGCTGTGCTGTCTTCACTCGCACATTTGTAGCAAGGGGAGGGGACGCGTATGTGCAATGGGGGAGCGAGTGCAAGCAGGCGGTAGGAGAGAAGTGTAGAGAGAAAAGGAAAAGAGTGCGGACGCGTGCCATGTCTGCGAGCAAAAGATGCTTCGCATCAAAAAGGTTATTTCGACGTAGTACCTAAGGAACAAGTAGACAAGATGTCTAACCCACTGCGCAGTGCTGGAAGCCGACTCGCGGTCGTACGATGTACTCTCTAGCACGCACATCAATTTGTTCAGAAAAAGATTATTTTGACGTGGTTTCTAAAAAACAAAGAAAAAATTTGAGGTGCGGCCTCACCGGCAATCATCTGCGGGTAATGGACTCTCTCACCAGAGCAGGATTGGCCACCCTGGTGAAGTAGTTGGCGACTACCTCCAACGAATACCTCCAAACTCTTAGGTTATGGCCTCGCAAGTGGCAAAATACACAAGCGTGTACTGTGCATAGAAAGCAATTGCCGTGCGTCAGCGCCTTGTTAAGAAGGCCACCTTGGCAAGTGTCATCTCACACGGTAGTGTGACAAGATAACATGCATATTGAGATACTGCGAGTAACGCCAAGAGTGAAAATTGTTTTCTGTTTGTCAATCACTCATTCATCACCCTGCGGCATGTGTCGATTAAAAACTTGATGCATAGTGGTGGAATCTGAGTCTCTATGACTTCAGGATGTCGCCCTCGCCGCTACTGATTGGTAATTTGTCTTGCGGCATGCGTCGTCTGCCGTAGAATCCGGTCTTGACGCATTTCACGTGGGGCACCGCGAAGCTCCCGGTTTCTGCTGCTTTTGACGCACACGTCTTGCCTAGGTGTTAAGCACGGATTGATGCTTACGTTTTTGCCGCTAGTGTGGCAATGCTCTTAGGTTGCCATACAAACATTGCACAGTTCTACAATAAATATTTTTGTGTTATGTTTGCTTCGTCTCTGCAGTGACTGTTAGTGAAAGCATGGTGAGTAGTAGATGTGTATCAGTGATGTCTTACATCTATCTTTGTCATGGTGTTATGTCAGAAGGATGGTGCATATGGTTTGTGTGGGTTGTTGCCTTATGCAAGACTGAATGCATCTCTGAAAGTAATTGCTTGAGAATATGGCTCCAGACACATTTGATAGTCCCAGTCGATATTGGTGATTGTAGTGATGCCTACTGGGTGGTTATGACACAATTGTCTTGACCATCCAGGTGGGAGCAGCGGCGCACAGCGACCGGCCGCGTCTACTACGTCAATCACTGGAGCCGCTCCACACAGTGGGAGAAGCCGCTCAGGTTAGTCGGCAAAGCTGTTGTGGAATCGTTCTGCCTTATGATTGCAAGAGAGCATTTGTAAAACACCTGATGTGTTGCTTCTTGGCTCATTATTTTCCAGTGGTGTCACTTGGAAACACTAGTGAAGTGTAGCGATTTGAACCACTTGAAACTATGAGCTGTTTTCACTTGGCCGCACCAAGTGACTCTGATGCAGACTGCAAATCGCCATCCCCGCTATCATCATTACCAATAATTATGCCGCACGACATGTGCATGACGTGATGATGGGGGATCATTGAAATGGCAAACTGGGTGAGTCGTTGGTAAGCATTTGTTATTATGGAGAGCAGGTATGACAATTATGCCAGCCAGACATTCTGTCTTCTTTTACTGCATTTGTGTATTTGTAAATTCTGTAATAATAACCTGAGCACAGACAATACCCATGGATGCTCACAGCATTAAGTACTCGTTATATTCATTTAGTGCTACTGTGTTCATGTTTTGGCACGACACATAAGTTTTGTGGTGCAGCACCAGACATTCCAGAAGTCAACTATGGCTATCTATCTGCTTTGACAACCTCTCACCTAAAAAAAAAAAAAAAAAGAGATGTTTACTGTGTGTTTAGGCTCTCGCAGTAGTCCATGAAAGGAGTCTTCATGCTCACAAGTCAAGTGGATAACAATTTGAGGACGATCAGAACTGAAATTTAACACCCACTCGTTTGACTTGTAGACCATCAAGTTTCGCAAACAACTATAGCAGTCTTGTGAATTGTTTGCCGAGGCCTGTTGGGGCTGACTACGGTGAATGTCTACGCGCTCGACAAAGTGAACGAAATTTCTTCTGCGTAGTGTCGACAGCGCTGTGCTCATAAACATGGATGCTGACATTGCTTTCACCTGCCTCTTCTCTCCTGCAGGCCCGCGTACGAAATGGTCAACATGGTCGCGCCTCTTTCCAACCGAAACAGCATGCATGTCAGTGGCAGCATCAGCGCAGGCAGCGCGGCCAACTCTCGTGCTCAACGCCGGTCTCTGCCTCCGCCCGCGTCCTCCACGACCAACGACGAGATGCAGCCTCCGCCTCCTCCTCCTCCTCAGGTTGGTCATGGTTTACTTATAGTTGGTTCTTATCAAAGATGCAGCAAGCCATGGAAAAAAGAGTGATAGGGATAACCTTGAGGGGGACAAAATGATAGGTATAACCTTGAGAGCTGCAGGCGGTGCTGACTGGCACCCCCAGGTTTGCATTTACATAGATACCCTGCAATGTGGATGAGGGTACGACTGCCGCCGTAGCTCATTTGGTAAGAGCGTCAAGTGTGTAATCCGAGGGTTGCAGCTTCGGTCCTGGTTGCAGCTCCGGTCCACGTCAGCAGCGAATTGTCTTTTCGTCCACTTTCTTCCCATCTGTGTCACAGTCACTACACTACACTTGAAACAGTTCAGTTAACGTGCCCTGTACCTTCCCTGATTTCACTGTCTGCTGGTTTTCATTAATGAAGAAAGCAGAGTAGGTGAGGGAACAAACGGGTGATGCTCGAGACGTATTATCGAATTCAAGAAGGAGGAATGATCATGGTCACGGGGTGGAGCGAGAAAGTTAGATAGCTGCTGGTCATTAAGAGCAACAGACTGAATTCGAAAAGAAGGCAAGATCACAAGGGGAAGGCAGAAAGTTAAGGTGAGATTATGAGGTTCGAGGGGGTAACGTGACTGCAGCAAGCAGAGGACCAGGTCGATTGGTGAAACACAGGACAGGCCTTCGCCCTGCAGGGGGCGTAGTCAGGCTAATGATGGTAGTTCCGGCCATTCTTGCACCTACGTGTTTTTCAAAAGCAACGCAGTGCTATTTCGCACAGCTACACCTTCATGCTACACTTCTCTGCATGACACCGTTGTGTATTTTTATCGGTCTAGACTGAGTTACGTGGCTGAAAATGTAATGGTGCAACATTGGACGAGGACCTGAATCGGAACGGGGTGCAACGGGTCGAAGCATACTCAGCCTCAAAGCAGTAACAATGTGCGGAATAGTGAGAAAGTAATTTTAGCTGCTTGACTCTCAACTTCTGGGTGCACACACTGGTTTCAATGAGCCACTGTCAGCACCAAATATAGTGGTCACTGAGTTTGCGAAATTGTTGTAGCAGCTCAGATAGCTCATTGAGGCATGCCAGACGCATGCCAGGCGTTAGTCTATTTATTTCAGTCACAAATGTCATTTCTGAAGAGTGAGGATTGTGATACAGGTGACAAGGTATCATGTTTTCAATTTATGTTCTTTAATCTTTGCTGCCTTGTGCTTGTATTTTCGTTCTTTGTTTTGAATCTTTAGAACGTGCATATATATTGCTAGATTTGGGGATTCACAGCTGGCACTTGTCAGTGTCCTTTGTCGAGGTTCTGTGGTGCAGTTACATTCTGAATCGTGACGATCGTAATTGAGTGAGATGGCCTTTTGTGTTCAGGATGAGGGCAACGGAGCACCACCATCACCATCTCCGCCGCCTGCGAGTTCTCCGCAGGCGGACACGCCTCAGTCTAACGCTCGGCGGCGGTCGACACGGCATCGCAACTACCTGGCCCGCAACCAGCTTCATAGGGCGGCTGACCTGCCCGAGGGATATGGTGAGAATGTGTACTTTTTTGGGCAGTGTTGCTCATTCTTTACTATACGAATACACAGAGTCTCCAGCCGCATGTTGTCTTTAGTGTTTAATATTAAAAACTGTCCAGTTTTTAATATTAAAAGATAAAGACCAAACACGGCTGGTGTGTCTGTTAAATTGTATAAATTGATCCGGCCAGCTAGATCTCTGTCAAATATGTTTACCTTTAAATTCTTTATCGTGCACATTTTTTGGGGGCAAACTGTGTTGTATTATAGCCAATGGCAAGTAGGGGATTCATTTGGGAAAATACGTTTGAAAACAGCCATGTGACATGCCAATGAGTCAACAAAGAAACGGCACTTTGATGTGATCATCAATTAGTGGAAATACTCAAACGAAAGTAACTGTGCTTAACAGGAACAAATGCATAGATCACAGCTATTGAGACGAGCCTACCTGGCAAATAAACGTAATTGTGAAATAGCTAGATGCACCACTAGAGAACTCTGGTGAACACATGTAGGCAGCCTTTCACTTGGTCATGAATATGGCCGGTGAAAAAAAATATTGAGCAGGTTTCAATGATTCGCGGAAAATTGTGTAGGTGAAGCTTTTTTTTTTTTTTTTGGCGTACACTCTTCGTAAAGTTTTTGGCCTTTGTCCTAGTAAAAATCCACTTTTCAGCAACTTCGGAGTCTAAAGTAATGGAGCGTAAGCAAAGAATGGCAATGGAATAAAATGATTGAACGGCACTTTTCTGTGCACGAGGGTTTCTAAGCAGCAGTAAGCATTAAAGTCTCGAAAGTCGTATAGCTCATGCAAGCATACGAGAGTGTTGGTACTCGCGTCGCGTCGCTCAAGTGTCGCATGCCACAGGGTGTTTCTCTTTTTCCTCTACCGGGTGTCGCCGCACACTAACTGTGCCTCTGTGCACTTACAAGTCAAGATTGTTTGTTATAAACTGGCTTTTTAAGTCGCATGATATCATCTCTAGGTGTCAATGTGCATTCATTTGTCGCAAGCATAGGTCGGCAAAAAAAAAAGAACAAAAACGTGAAACTCACGCAGACTCGCCAAAATTTTTCTGATCCGAACTCTTTCGAGCTCACACTCACGAAAATTTTGTTCAACCAGACTCAGTCACACTCACGGCTCGATCCGAGTCCGAGGGAGTCGACTCACAAGTGAGTTCGCCGACCTATGGTTGCAAGGCCCTCAACTATAACTAGGGAGTTGAAAAAATGAAAATATAGGCATGCTCTTGAAGCCTTTGGACCCATAAATATCTGCCACGGGCGAAGAATTTCAACGAGTGGTGCATCCGTTCTTCGACGTCGCAGAGGTGCGGACGACGCAGCAGGGTCAAGTCTACTTCTACCACGTGGCAACGGGGGTGAGCACGTGGCACGACCCCCGGGTTCCCCGCGACTACCCCTCCGGCGACCTCGAATCCCTGGGACCCCTGCCCCGGGGCTGGGAGATTCGCTCGACTCCGACGGGACGCCTGTACTACGTGGACCACAACAACCGCACCACACAGTTCACCGACCCCCGGCTTCCTCTGCTGGGACTCGCGCCAGCTGCAAGGTGAGCAAGCTGAAAGAGGAAGCATGTCTTTTGTTTTGTTCTTTTCTCCAATGGTTGCTCTTGGCTGTTTTACCGACTGCAAAACAAAAAAAAAAAGAAATATAGTAAACTAAATGGGTCGGGGCAGAACCTTGAACACTTTTGGTCTCTGCTCGGTTTTCAAACATTTCGTTTCAGCTTCCGCACTGAACTAGTGTAGTTGTCATCTTTGGGCAGTTGGCTTCTGGCCAGTATTGTTGTTTAACATAAAAGAGGGAAGGCTTGGAAGGGAAAAGGTGCTAAGTAGGCTTCCTTTCCTTCCAAGCCTTCGCTCTTCTATGCTATAAATCGAACCAACTAGCCCAACAGTTCACTGTATTGCAGTATTGTGAGCACAAACTGAACGTCCAAAAGCCAAACAAAAACTGAACAAGTATAAGATCGTACCATTGGTAAAAATCCTTGCAGCATGAGGTGTTGCTGGAGCCAAGGTGTTCACCAAACAGTCTATTCTCCTTCAAGCCTGCAGTTGCCTGCCTTATGGCACATGTGTACAAATATGAATGTGTTGCAGTTGCTCCACTGACATGCTGTGTTCCTAGGATTTTTCATCTCTTCAAGATTTCATTGTCCCCTGAACTTCTACCCTATTTGTATTTGTGCCATTGGTAGTTGTTTATGCTCTTAGAATAGTGTCAAGGCACTACATGACAGGCAGCTCCCAGTTTGTTGCTCTGTGTCGATCTTTACTATCATGTCACATTAGACAGAACCATCCCTAGACCATCATTAAATGAAACTGTGCACGTAAGACGGCATAATCAAAGTCCGACCGACATCTTTTCGTTCCAGGAGGGCGCTGCCCATGTCACAGACATCGTCGGCGCAAGGCCAGCACATGTCTCCTGCCCACGCGTCGCCAGCGCCCTCTGCTCCGACCTCGAACATGACCTCTGGATCTTCGAACCTGACCTCATCAAGCACGACAGGTCAGCCCAGTATGGCTCAGACTGGTTCTTCCCGAGAGGCACCTCCGCCACCGCCACCACCTGCGAGCCATCCCACTGTGGGACCACGTAGTCCACCTGGTCACCCCAACCCGTTGACGACGAACGCCAACCCGCCCGGTGGAGTCATTCAACCTCACATCAACAATGTTCCTCCTCAACCACCGAGCAATTCGGCGGTGTTGCCCCCACCACAGAGCCCCATGTCGCCCATCAACGTCAACGGGTTGCCGCCGGTCGTGCCTTCCATGACGGCGGCCAACAATCATAGGAACAGCTTCTTGTGAGTGCTGCTTCATCTTGGGACTAACTTTTAAAGCTAATGGGATTGCGGATGATTGGTTTGTGCCCTTCCGGCTTGTGATCAGTTCTAACAGCAATGATAATAGAAGTTACATGACCATGTAGCAGGATAATAATCTGACGTCCTGTTTGCTATCAACAGCCTCTCAGGTTCGTATAGATGATAGTCTGGCATGCAAATAAGGACTGGGACTGCGACACCTTAGTTGTAATAAAGATGCATGTGTTGGACTGGTGAAGAGATTCGTACAAACTCTTCCAGCAGCATCATTATATTTATAAAAGGGCCAGTAAACAACCCCAAGGTCCGAAAATTGTTTAAAAGAGAAATATGTGCACTTTTACTTTGTGACCGTGCTGCCGCAAGAATTTTGTGAATACATGCTATATTAAGAAAGTTACAGGGGCTAGAACATCGCGTTCAGCTGGTTTCAAATTTTCGCGCGATCTCGCCACCCTTCTCCTTCAGAGAGAGGGGAAGGCGTGGCCCGTCGTCATGACTCCGCCCACTTCGGCAATGTAACGGGACGTCAGTGATTGACGTCTTCGGTGAACTAGATCAGTTGCAACGCACTTCCACTTGCTACTATGCCTATTTGTTTACTGTTCACCTGGTGCTGATCCTTCTCTGCAACCCACTCACTCGATTTTCAGCCGAAAACAGTTTGCAGCAAAACTGCATTCTAAAACCCGGACATGAAGTTGGCCCAATTTTTCTGGAGTTCAATTTTTTTTCTTTGAAGCAGACTGACGTGCCATCTGAGAGCAGCAACGCAAAACACAAGTGATGCGCTTCTAGTGGGTGTGCTGATCAACAGGTGGCACCACAATCTGCTTACTCCCAAAAACTGGGTCAGTGAAGTCTTCCGATTTCATTGCAAGGAGCCTATGGGAAGTTTTGCAACTCTTATGATTGGATAGCTCTGTCGTAGCTGTGGGTGGGAACAGGAACTGTCGTTGACTTCACTACTGCTTGTTGAGGCCTGGGTTTAGACCGATCGATAAGCTGCATGCTGCGTCACGTCGCCGATCGCCGAGTTGTCGTCACTGCGCGTGCAAGGAGCGTTGGTCAGGCGTACAGCGCGGCGCAGCTCTTTAATATTCAGAAAACATGGTCACTGCGGTGTACTCTACGAATTACCGAGCTTGTTTAGGGGGTGTAAAAAAAAGTTGAAAGCTTGTTGACTGACTCTTTAAGATATTGAGGTCAGTTGCTCATAGTTGGAGATATGTCAAGTCATTTGAGGACAGTTTTTATTCTAAGATCCCTCTCATCTATATCTGTAATTATACAGTGGCGAGTATAAAACAGTTCCAAGTTGTAGTGACCTCGCTACTCACCGTAGCGGAAGATCAACGTGGGTTCAGGCTTAGTGAGGCACAGGGCCGTGTCTCCGTCACCTACTCATGTGTCGCGCACCGCTCCGCAAGCGCTCAACTAACAAAGCGTTTAGCGCGGCCCAACAAAACAGACATTGTTCGATTAACCGCAGTACACAAACACTTTATTGCCTTTGGCGGCACCCCCAAACAACAGTGCAACGTTCGCTCCCGGGACGCAGTGAGCAAAGGTCTTCCGCTCGCAGACATTCAAGTTAAAGGGGAGGCCGCGAGCACATCGCAGCTGGCAATGACGAGCTTTGACACACCGGTCGGGAAAAGGTTTCTCGTGGCTATGCTGCGCACTCTCGCGATGGCCACTGAGCCTGGTCGAGAGAGTTAGGGCAAACCTCCTCCGCGTAGGCCTACGGCGAGAGTGGCTTGGCGTGGTACGACCACTTCAAGTACTAGGCACCGCTGTTTGGCTTAGCGTATGGTACCGAAGCTAACACTCAGGTAAACACGCCTGCCGGGGATGTCTAGGAACCCAGGCAGGCTACAGTCCGGCGATTCCCAAAGGGGACGCGGACGGAGGAAAAAACAAGGTGCTTACCGAGTGCTGGTTTAACAGAAACGAGACCCTTCCTGGAGCGCACGTGACTCAGCCTCGCTGATTCTCGCAGCCCCCAAGAACATGCACCACGCCATCTATCGCCACGTGCCGTTACCAGAGCACGGGAAAGGAGAAGGAGCGGCCGTACGGTGGAATGCCCGCGAAATGGCCGCGGGCGTGCCGCAGATCCCCACAAATTTCAACATTGTCAGAGATGTCATGGGGATTTTAATGGCAGGGAGGGTTCAGAATCTGACAGCATCAAGTTACTGCAATGTATAGCACTCTTAATAACATTATTCTAGTGTTTAACAATCCTGTCAATTTCGAAAGCTGGAGCTTGCATAGGGTTGGTCGACCCAAGTGGTGAGCACTGAGCCTCAGAAGTGAGTGTGCTTGTTGGCCCAGTGGTCTCGTTTCATCATCATTGCAACTGATGTAAAACTGCGCAGGGGATAGACAGGGGATAGAATATGAGAGAAGTAGGCAGAGCCGTGCTCAGCCTGTCTATTTGTTCTTGTGTGTTCTGTTCCTTGCGCAGTTTAATTTCAGTTTCTACGCCATACCGACTAGCCCCCCACTTTACGTGTCTTAATCACAACGTATAGTCGAGCAAGTGCATATCGATAAGGACGGAAGGTAAAAAAAAAAAAAAGACACTTTTATTCTTGTTAAAGTGCACTAGGGTACTTTATACAGTATGTTGATCAACCGTCAACTTTCCCTGCTTTCAACTTTATTTGTCCTTTCTCTGATTGCAGTGGTGGTGGAGGTGGGGGTGGCGTACCCTACCTGGCGAACAACAGTCCCGCGCCAACGGTCACGAGTGCCACATCGTCGTCGGCGCTCATCATGGAACGGTCGTCCTCGCCCGAGCTGTCCTGCCTGCCCAAGTACAAGCGGGACCTGGTGCAGAAGCTGACGACGCTGCGTCAGGAGCTGCAGACGGTGCAGCCCCAGTCAGGCCACTGCCGGCTGGAGGTCTCTCGGGAGGACATTTTCGAGGTTTGGAGTTTGCTTTATTCGGGCACGTGCACCTATTGTAGAAAAGTTCACCAACATGAATGAATAATGAACACTGTTTATTGCGGAGTGAATTTGTCACCAGAGCTAAAATAGAATCACAGAAGTCCAGAAAGAAATGAAAGTCTGTCGGTCTCACGAGCCGCCGGCCTCGAACGTTCATCACTTTCTTTCTTCGTCACGTGCTCTGGCCTCTCAGTTGAAGCTCGTGCACTTGTAGGGCAAACAGGTGCACTTCAGCTGGCTGTGTTTGTCGCAGGGGCTGTCAACATTTCACATCGTTCACAACCCCTGCATTGCAAAGAGCAATGTGCGTAACACTAGGAACACTGGCAGTCTCAGTAGCACTATATATGCTGTATCATCAAGACAATCGCAGGTAAAACCTCCTGACAAGGCCTACATTTCGGGTCACAAAAATGGGACAGCGATCGGCACGCGGTTCGTCATATTTCTTGGTCATCTCTCTCGCTTGTGTGGTCTGCACCGTGCGGATTACGATAGCTCGATAGAAAGTCTAGTTATCCGCTAGTAACCGTCCACGGACGTATTCTTGCTGGCTATGTAGCCATTTGTACACGTGTGCCCCCATCTGCTGGTGCTCGCTTACGTTTTGACTTGCTTTTGCCCCTAAGCATTGACGCACGTTTACAGTTGCCTACGTTCACACTCCTTGGCACTCGCTCGCACTCTTTAACACATCACACGGGCACAGACTTGTGTCCATTTGAATTTACTCTTATTGATTTACATTCGGACTCGCGTATGTTGGTGAGCCCAATTTCAGCGATGTTTCACAGAAATTGGCCCGTCGGACACCACGTTACACCTTTGGCGGCTGCGTGACGGCCAAGTGACAGTCTTTTTCAAACGATCCCCCTCCCACTCTTTTGTCCGATTAGTAGGATCGGGGCGCTGAGACTCCCAAGAAAAATTGTCGTCATGCAGCTAGCACGAATGCTAAGATCCCCGGCACAGCCTTGATCTCTTATCGTGATCTTGTACCCTGCGAAGTTGGTTGAGAACAAGTATCAGTCAGCGGCACTCATGGCTGTTCAGCTTTTTCAACTAGCGCACCATGATTACTGCCTTTTTCCATGACCAAGCAATAAGTGCAGGCAATATAAGCTTGCTTGTGTTACATCATGTTAGGTTGTTCATTCATTTTGATGCATAGATTCTAACTATAACCTGCTCTATTGTTACAAACAGCAGGTCAATGTTTAACCTTTAAAGCAGCGAAAATGATCGTGCGAACAGCACTTTTTTCTCTTTTTTTCCCATTTTCGTTGCTTTGTGTCACTTTTCAAGCACGCAAGCACGTTTTCGGTTAACGATGCAGGAGTCGTATCGGCTCATCATGAAGATGCGTCCCAAGGACCTCAAGAAGCGGCTCATGGTCAAGTTTCGTGGTGAGGAGGGCCTCGACTACGGTGGCGTGGCCAGGTGGGCACGGTTTTTATTTTTCGAGCTGTAACGAACGGGACAAACAATCTGTGAATAAGCTAGCAACAACTCCGTAGCGTGCATAAAGTGACTTAATGTGTAATATTCCCACTTGTTGTTGTTCATTCGTATTTCATGGTGCGCCAATGCATGTTAGGTGTCCTTATCTTCCACATTTTCTTCATTTGCATAGTGCTACGTTAAACATTTGCTGTATAGGATTAAGATAAAGAAAGTGTAAAGGAACATGACTGTGTTTTTATAAATTTAAGCATCGATTTAGTAAGGAAAATGAACTTGGAAAGAAAAATTCAGTTCTTACTCATCTGTGAAGATAGAAGCCAACCAAGCTGCGACATTGGTGAGCCTGATATAATAAAAATATTGGTTAATTGAATTTATATATTATCATTGTTGACTATATTGAGCAAATATAGGCATGCACTCAAAGATACCAATGTCTCTTTTGTGCGTGACTTGTGTTATCAACGGCGGTCTCGAAATGATATTCTGTAGTTCAAAAGAAACCACGTTGTTTTTAAAAGTACAAAAATGGCATGATGTTCGTTGCCTATGCAAGTGGTTTTGTCCTTGAAGCGAAATTTTTTTGTACATTCTGCGGTTTCGGTGAAATCATACACCGTATGATTTCACCGGTGTGGAACTTCTTTATCCAGTTTTCTAGAGTTACTTAGCTTCTACCTGAAGTCAACTTTTGTGGCTCGGAGTGGCAATCTTTTTGTCCAGAGATCAGGGATATGCATAGGCTCTTCAGTAGCTCCAATAAATTTTTCTCGGAAAAATTGATGTAGCACTTCAAAATCATTTTTCAGGACTCCCGGTTCGCGTATTCAGATACGTCGACGATTTTCTTGTGTTCACTACGTCTTCAGATTTTATGCGAGATGTTGTGAATATTTTCAAGATTTTTAAAGAAACAGGCAAGAAACTAAACTTTTCTTTTCAATTGCCGCGTCTAAATCAACTGCAATTTCTAGATCTTAACTTGGTCTTCGAACCCCAGCATGTTTGCTGGTATTATTGTCCCAGATCCGTAAAGCCTATACTCAATTACAGGTCGAGCCCCTCTAAGCTGGTGAAGAGAGGTATCGTTACTACGAGTTTGGGTTTTGCTCTAAAAAGGTCCTGTCAACACAGAATGGAAATGAGCTTTCATAGTCAAGTAAAGAAACTAGTGCAAGCAGGGTATCGTAAGGATGTCATCACGTCCGTTTGTAACAACATGATTAAGAAACTTAAATTTGAAGGGAACCACTCGGGGCGTCGTGAAGAGAGTAGAAAAAGTAGGAGGATATCAGTGATTCCTTATTTTCATAAGACTTCACATGAACTTAAGCAACTAGCTAATAGATATAAAGTCTATGTGCTTTTCTCAGCCAAAGACAAACTACAGTCTATTTGTTCACGCATGCGCAGAGAGTTTCCGCAATGTCGCATGAAACACAGCAAAAAGTTCGTGGACTGCGCAATGGGCGTTGTTTACATGACTCCTTTTAGCTGTTGTAAATTGTATATCGGTCAGTCTGGAAGATGCGTCAATGTTCGTCTCAGAGAGCACGATTCTTCTTTGAATCTTTGGGTGCATCGCATCTCCGATTCCCACTTCTTGTTGTTCATTCATATTTCATGGTGCGCCAATGCATGTTAGGTGTCCTTATTTTCCACATTTTCTTCATTTGCGTAGTGCTACTTTAAACATTTGCTGTATAGGATTAAGATAAAGAAAGTGTAAAGGAACGTGACTGTGTTTTTATAAATTGAAGCATCGATTTAGTAAGGAAAATGAAGTTGGAAAGAAAAATTCAGTTCTTACTCATCTGTGAAGATAGAAGCCAACCAAGCTGCGACATTGGTGGACCTGATATAATAAAAATATTGGTTAATTGGATTTATATATTATCATTGTTGACTATATTGAGCAAATATAGGCATGCACTCAAAGATACCAATGTCTCTCTTGTGTGTGACTTGTGTTATCAACGGCGGTCTCAAAATGATATCCTGTAGTTCAAAAGAAACCCCGTTGTTTTTAAAAGTACAAAAATGGCATGATGTTCGTTGCCTATGCAAGTGGCTTTGTCCGTGAAGCGAAATTTTTTTGTACATTCTGCGATTTCGGTGAAATCATACACCGTATATTTATTTTTACACCATGATCCCCCCCCCCCCCCCCCCCGCCTCCCTTTTTTTTAATTTAAAAAATGCTCGACTACTCGAGTATATCGGTTTGCCAGTAATCGTTGTTGCACATCTTTTGTCCATGAACACGATCTCACAGTGCCTAGTCATATTACAGTTTTGCTGTTAAAGGTATGTTGCTGCTGTCAACAACCAATCCAAGTGAATGATTACAGCCAGGGCTGGCACCAGCGGGGGGGCATGGGGGGGCTGAAGCCTTCCCAAAATTTCTGCCTGCCCCCCTTCCCCCTCGCTCTTCCCAAGAGCACAATGCATATTTTCAGCAGCTTTTCTTCCAATGTCCCCCATCTGTTAGATTGTACATGGTGGAAATAAAGATTTGAGTTGATTTGATATATTTCCAGCCTCCCTGTCCCCCTGAAGGAACGTACTTGTCGTGGTTGCCCCCTGTAAAAAAACATTCTGGTGCAGCCACTGAGTATACCATTTTCAAAGGATTCTCAACCTGTCTAAATGCTGCTGGTCTTTAGAGGCATTTTGGTAGGGACTCTAGCAGTAGAAACCATTCAGAATCAGAGGGCCTCCAGCACGTTAGCTCTTATTACTCAGTCTTGTGAATGTCAGCCTCGTCGTTTATCGATAAACATAGCGGCATATAGCCTGTGACTTTGCTTTCTTTGGTACTAATTGCTTTACGCATGTTCGTTTGTCACGCAGGGAGTGGCTGTACCTTCTGTCGCACGAGATGCTGAACCCGTATTACGGCCTGTTCCAGTACACACGTGACGACATCTACACGCTCCAGATCAACCCTGACTCCTCGGTGAATCCGGTGCGTGTACAGTTTTCTGGTTGTTTTAATGATGATGTTTTGATGGTTGTACAAAAATAAAGATGTCGTGCTCTCTACAATTGTCTTGGCAAGTTACAACACATGTTCTACTGTGTCGTTAGCTGGCGGACCGGTCCCACTCAAGCGTCACTTGTGGAAGTTACAAAGGCTTTGTTTCGGGGCTTGTTCCCAGCTCGCCACAATTCTCGAGACATTCGCTCATCCTGGTTTGTGCATTGCGCAGGAACACCTGTCGTACTTCCATTTTGTGGGCCGAGTCATCGGTCTGGCTGTGTTCCATGGCCACTACATAGACGGCGGCTTCACGCTGCCTTTCTACAAAATGCTGCTGGGAAAGCCCATCCACCTGGACGACATCGAGGCCGTCGACCCGGACCTGCACCGGAGCCTCACATGGATGCTGTGAGTTGCCGCGCCTGCAAAACTCGCTTGGTTGCATGTTCTGGAGCTGCTCTTCATTCGATACATTCGTCAAGATGGTTGACCTTTGAAGACGAGGATTAGTGCATGCGCAGGTCCTTCTTCTTTCTAAATCCCTGTCGATGTTACGCACCTGTATTTTCGAGTACACTCATACCTCAAATAACGAACACGTGTGTAACAAATTATAGTTGAACCCTTCTGTAAGAGACGTTCATCAGAGCGGCATTCTCTTCTTTTATATGAGGTGTCTCTTATGAGCAGGGTGCACTATTCTTGTGTTCTGATTAACCCCAGTTTCAATATAGGCACACTGGTGTCTTTTATACCCATTTGTCTCCTATATCAACATCTTTTATAAAGGGGTTCGACTGTTTAAATGAATATCGCTGTCATAGATGCAGCGTTACAGATACTCGTTTTTAATAAATTTTCGGATGTGACAAAGTTATTATTTTTGTGTCAGATGTGGCTTTCTTATAATTAGCTCGATGTTTGAGTGTAATGCATGATTTTTACATTGTAGTGGCAAGGTTACTCTGTGGTCACCGATGATAAGATTGTGGTTGCATCTACCAAATGGTGTTTTTGTGGGCGCTACATGTGACTCGCGAAGCAGCCTGGCGGGAAATTGCAAGTCTATGTATTTTTGGGTGTTTTACATCAACGACGAAGGCCTTCGATACTAAACAAGTGGGAACAGGTAAGTTGGGTATTATTGGGAGAGGTTTCTGCTTCACACTGGAAATAGGCTCACAATCATGATGACATTCCATGCTGACTACCTCTTTTAGTGAAACCCATCTGTTGGAGGTGTTGACCGATGCGGCCACTTCCGGGGCCTGTAGAGTTAAATCTGTGTCTTCATTCTTTTAGGAATAATGACATTGGAGACTACATCGACACGACCTTTTCTGTGGAGCACAATGCCTTTGGCCAGCTCCAGGTGCACGAACTCAAGCCCAATGGCAAGGACCTGCCAGTCACGGACGACAATAAGAAGGAATATGTCAGGTATGTGCCAGTCTCTGTGTGGTAGCTAGTTAATATACTTACTAATTGTCACCATCAGTTATTGTTACTTTAAAGGCCCCATTGGGGTATTACACTCTGACCTTGATATAACGAACCCAGATATAATGAATTATTGGTTATAATAAAGTAAAGGAAGAATAGTTCTGTCATAGATACAGTACTGCAAATATTCGTGTATAACAAATTTTTTGATATAATAAAGCATTTTCATGGCAGGTGTGGCTGTTATAATGAGATTTGAGAGTACATAACATACAGAGATGAGTGAATGTGTGTTCAAAAACACATTGGCACACATTGGTTGTAGAATAGCTGAGGTTTAAACAGGCCCTATTTACTAGTTACTAATAATATATTATCGGAAACCAGTTGAGCTTTCACATAACCTCAAACTGTGATTCATTTCTTCTTTATTCATGCGGCAGTAGCACTTTTTACGGGCAGTGACTAAGTTACTTCATAATAGTTACTAAAATGTGTATGTTCGCATCTAACAAGTTGTATATATTTTCTTAGTACAGAAATGCAATTTTTCTTAAACGGGCAGATAACACTGATGCTTATATGATCATAAGAATGTTTTAATGTCTCCTTGCCACATAGATAAATCAGAATTAAGTGTATTGTTCACGTTTGTGACGTTTATTATTTACAGTTCCACTGGTAACAAAAAATTAATGAATTCACTTTATCAAGTAATCATAACAAGTAACCTTGCTGAAACTCCTAACGGTAACAAAATTACATTTATGCTTGCAATGAAAATATTATTCTTTATCGGTGCCAAGGTTCGTCAACGCTTGTTTTGCGTGTCGTGCGAGGAGAAATGGACTTTCAGACGACGCAGTAACAACACACACGACGTTTATGACAGAGCACGAAAGAAAAACATAGAACACAGAACCAGAAAAACCGTGAAGCCGAATAAGTAACAAAACTGTCTGATCGAACGATAAAACAAATGAACGCGAGTTCAAGGCGCAGAGTTTCAAAAACCTCACAATGAGATGCGGGCCCCGATGAACGCCGAGGTACAGGGCAGGAGGCGGTGACAGTCGATCGGAAGCGGGGTGCGTCTCGATGTGTGATGCTATGGTGACGGTGACGCTTGGCGGAGTGGGGGCGTGGGTACGACTACGGAGCAGTCAACTCGCATCGGAGACGTGATGCTCCAAGCGTGGAATGGCCAGCCCGTCCAGCGAAGAGTGTGCGCCGAGACGCGATGCTCGGCGCAACCGTGACCGTTAGCCAGGCCACGATCGTCGCTGTGCCGAACTGCTGACCGTGGAGACGCAAGCAAGTTTATAAGGAAACAGTCTTCATGCACGTCATTAATCTGTCAGAAGGAGTCGGAACTCTCAGCCACCAGTAGTCTCATGCAAATCAAGGCTACTATGCTTCTGTAAGATGGAGAAATATAAACATGCTGTGCACCCAGGTGTTCCCTTTAACGCTGGACACGTCTGTACATTAGATAGTTGCCCGCACGCTACTTTCCACACTGCAGAAACTGAGCATGCAGCAAACACAGTGGAGCCATCCTTTATGACAGTGTGTTTGTAACTAATTTTTTAATGTGCAGGTTGTTTGTGAACTACCGGTTCATGCGAGGAATCGAGCAGCAGTTCCTGGCGCTACAGAAGGGCTTCAGCGAACTCATTCACCCAAACCTGCTCAAGTCCTTTGATGAGAAGGAGCTCGAGGTGAGCTTTCTCTCATAGCTTTTTCTGTGGGATATGTCAGGTCCTCAAACACAGTTTGCTTGCCCAACAAAGCCGAGAAATCACGTGTTTTGAATGTGTAATGCACCCGTCAATGTCCTACACCTCTGAGGGAGTAAGTAACCTTTGTGGATTCTGTGAAAATGATGCACCTTCTACGTCCGCTTAGAAGATGAGGTGATTCGGCACGCCATTCCTTAATTTTACATCTTTAGAAGGGTAACGTTATGATGAGAAAATGAAACAGTTTGTAGAACTAGTTAGGAAGCAAGATGATATGCACTCCTAGTATTTTGCACTTTTAGAAGTGTAGTGTTGTTTCACTGTTAAAGATGGTGCACCTTCTAGAACTGATTTGGAGAGTAATACTAGTTTATACATCCTCTTGATACCTTGTATCCCCAGGGGAGTAACCTTGTTTGACTGTTGTAAAGGATACCCCTTCTAGGGTGTAATTTCCATCCCTGTGATACCTGTTGTAATTGCTCTGAGAATCAGCTTTACCTAAAGCTACCAACCGCCGTGACTTGGCTTTGGCGTTCGTTTACTGAGCAGAAGGTTCTGCTCAGCAAACGTCACAAAAGCTGCACCAATAAAGGCCGATTGCTTGAAATAAACCTGTCTCATACTCTCTCATTGATATTAAATCATGTGTATTTTGCCTCCGTATTATGGCATAATAACAGCTCAGGACATCTACTACTGTGTCATTCTGTCAAGCTTATAGCGCGCTTTGACACGTTTTAATGATTCATTAATACTTGTGCCTGGACCTGATGATACTCCATAGCCGTGTAGATTTATGGCACGTTAGGTCGGTACTAACTACCGTATTTATTCGCATAATCGTCGCACTTTTTTTGCCAGAAAACTGATGCAAAGTTGGGGGGTGCGAGAATCACGCGCGGAAAACTTTCCACGAAAACGTGCAGAGCGAAAAAGAAAAACGAAGTGGCCGCAAATCGGGATTCTCACACTAGCAACTTACACTAAGCTTTAAGAAGTGCTAATTAGAACTTACCTCAACAATAAAAGCAAAGGTTGAACACAAGGCAAGATTTATTTGAAACACAAAAAGTGCAAGCAATAGTCGAGAATCAGAATACCATACACAAAGCTTGTGGGCGTTGCGGCCGTAACGGTAGCGTTCATCGCTCATCAGGAGCCCTCAAAAGTAAAGCGTAGGATGTCAGCATTGGGCTGATGGCCATTAAACACAGAATCATCCGCAGTTTCCTTCTGAAGAAATAAAGTTTACCATCAATGCCAGTTTTAGGCTCACGGCAGGCCCAATGCGTCTTGGTGGCTTTCAGCTGCCGTCACCAGTAGCGAACACAAAACTCGTAGCCTCCGAAGGGCCTACCGGCGGCCCTGTTGCCGTCGTTTAGTGCATGATCTATCACTTGCAACTTGAAGCAGTCGTGTAGCTTCAGTATCACCCCGTAACATGCCAAGATTACCGACACAGCATACAAAACACGCCGCAACGCACACTGGCCACTTCGGCTTGGCTTGGATTGGATTAAATCTGCGTGCAATAGTACGCTTGATGTTTAAGAAATGGCGCCAGATGGCACACGCTATCATCATCAGTGGCTGGAACGAGCAAACGACATTATTGCGGCAGTTTTGGGGGGTGCGATAATTACTCGAGGAAAAAAAAGAAATCGTGTTTTTCTTGGGCCATGGGGGGGGGGGGGGGGGGTGCGAGGATTACGCGAGTAAATACGGTAACCCAGCTAAAGGCATATTAGCGAGGTACCTCACATGTGCTGTGTGTGTCATGGCCTTCGTCACGAATCGCCGTTATGTTGCCCGTGCAGCTGGTGATCGGCGGGCTGGGCAAGATCGACTTGGCCGACTGGAAGGCCAACACGCGGCTGAAGCACTGCACGGCCGACAGCAACGTGGTCAAGTGGTTCTGGCAGACGGTCGAGTCATACAGCGAGGAGCGGCGAGCGCGGCTCCTCCAGTTTGTGACAGGCAGCTCGCGGGTTCCCCTCCAGGGTTTCAAGGCTCTTCAAGGTAAGAAGGCAGAGGCCTATGTCTATTCTAGCTGCTTTTTTCTGTGTGATCGCACGCCATCATAGATGTGATGAAGAGTATTTGGAATCTGAAGGAAACAAAGTAGTGAAGTTGGTACGGGCCAGTGCCAGTAATGTTCCAGTGCACGAGTTGATTGTGACGCTTTGTGACAACTTCGGCATGAGTGCCATTATGCACCAGTTGAGCGTGGCTGTCCAACGTCGTTCTGTCGTCTTAAGCATTCTGAGACTGCTCTATGAGAAAGTGCAGCAACATTCACAGCAGAGTACCCTTAACGACTAGTCACTAATGTGGCTGCAAATTTATTTCCTCAGTTTTCCACTGAAGTGATTACTTTTAACGACAGTTGTTCTTGTACTCACAAACCGCGCGAGAAGTATTAATGGGCCCAGCCCTGGTGTTTGAAGCGTGGCAGCAGGTCTGCTCAGCGATTATAGGAATAGTCCCACTCATGCGGTCGGCAATGTTCTCCAAAAGCAGGGACTGGCTCATAACGCTCGTCCGGAGTGCACTTGCCCATGAGGAAGAAATGCCGCAGAATCGTAAAGTTGTGTCTGAATATAATGACAAATAGAACTGGAAAAATGTAGACTTTTTTCGAGGTCGCTGTAAGCGTGCAGTGCCGACGGCCCCACTGACCACAGTTATGTGAGGCAGCAACCCACAGGTACTGTGGCGAAGTATGTGGTTCGAAGGTGTGCGATCGCTACATTTTTCTCATCTTACATTACTGCAGTGTCAAATCGTGCTCGCCTCCTCACAGTCGGCTCTGAGCACCAAGTAACATCTGGCGTTTGCACCGGTTTCCGCAGGTTCCACCGGAGCGGCCGGTCCTAGGTTGTTCACGATACACATGATCGATGCCAACACGGACAACTTGCCAAAGGCACACACGTGGTAAGCACCTTGTCTTGCTCGCCCTCTCGCTCTGTATCACTCTTCACTATCGCTTTTTTGATTTTTGGCTTGGTTTCATTGAATGACTTGCCTGTGCGGTTTCATTTTTAAGTCTGATGCTTTCGCTATCTTCATTAAGTGCAACCCTGCCTTGTGGTCTAGCGTCACGTTAGACCCACAAATTCCTTTATTTTATAATGCCTTGCAGTTTTCTGCAGTCATCAACTCCATTTCATTGTATCACTGATACCTCTCTTTGAGCTAATTTATGCTGCCATCTTCCCGTCTTTTCATGTTGTGCTTATGATTTTTCATGCTATCATTTCTTTAGAATTTGGAATAAAATCAGACCACAAGAAAGACGGGACAAGAAGACAGAAGTGCAAACACTTACTATAAAGTGGTTTATTACCGGTTTCCGTGCTTTAATTTGAAGATCACGAACCAACATGTTCAGAGATGCATTCACTTGTTCAGAACTGCTGTTTCGAATAGTAAATCCCTCCTGGACCTCATCGAGCTAGTGCAGCTACTCAATTTTGTGTAGTATGCATCGATGCCATACTACAAACTGACGCAAGAGAAGTGGGGACGAGAGAGGGGGGAGGTTCTAAGCAATGTCGAAGCAAATACTAGGGATTTGGTTCGAACAGTTTTGAATCAAATTTGAATACTATATATATCATGTATGAAGAAGAATGAGCATGCTTGTCGTGACCCAACCAACTTGTGCAGTATTTCTTTTTAAATTACAAACAAGGCGTGTGCAATTGTCGTCCTTTTCTGTTCAAAGGAGGTGGAAACATCTTTGAAAAATAGCAGGATTTGACTTTCGGTACAATGAACGTGATAACTTGTCAAATACGTTACTGTAAATATGTTATTATGCCACTTAGCGTTCAATGTGCATGCAAAAGACGAGACATTCTCACACGTGCAAAAGCAAAAGTTGACAACTTTTAAAAGTAAAGTAAATACAAATACACTCAAACTTAACAAAATTGTATCTCACATGGAGATCAGCTCAGTATATCCAAAAATTTCTTACAAAGGTGTACTATACCTATTCGAATCTAGGCCACTAGTTTTTTTTTTTTTTTCAAATTTTTTTGCATTAAATTTCAGGGTCGCTTAGATTCAATTTTGAAAAACGCACCATTTTTCATTGAGAAAAGTGGTGCACAACTAGCACCACCTAGACGGTATTATAGCCATTAATAGCCAAGCCAACACCTGGCTTAAGTAAAAATGGTAGTTCGCCATTTTAATCTTTGTAGCGAATGTCGAGGCGAACCGTTCGTTATTTCGAGTCGCGCTTCGAGTGGTCTGTGTGTGGTGTAGCTCTATGGCGCCAAACAGGTGGTGTCATTATAGTGCCGCTTATAAAAGGGAAGTTGTCCTAGCTGCGGAGTCGTCATCCAACATTCAAGCCGGGCGGGACCTCGGAGTGGACGACAAAATGTGCGTGACTGGAGGGGCTGCAGCATGGGACGACAACCCGGGAACTTTGTGCTCTCTTTTAAGAAGTGCGGCACATCCACTTGATGGCACCAAGAACTGTGCACTGTTTGAAGACAGTGACGACGATTCGTAGTGAGCGCGGCATCGGCACGCGTGGTATCTTTATGATGTAAATAACTAGAAGCAGCGTGAGAAAAATGACAACAAAAGAAACATGCACAACAGGACTAGTGACTGTATGTTCCTCAAGTTATTTGCATCATGAACCAACTGCCTTCTTTCATCTTCGTGTTCAATAATGGTCCTCTCTTGTTGAACACTGTTTCGTTCGGCCTACGTTTGAGGTCATTTTTTTTTATTCAGGGCTTCGGATTTATGGAGGTCGGCTTAGAATTGGGGTCGGCCTAGATTTGAGTAAATACATATTCCTTACACTGTCTATTGCATGACTGTTCTTCATTCACTTTGTTATGACCAATGTTTTGTTATATCTGGGCTCGTTATATCGAGGTTTGATAGACAGTGTTAGGAATATACCTTTATGAGGAATTTTCAGATATAACAAATTAATTTTCGTGTAAGGTGCACTTTTCGTATATTGAGGTTTGAGTGTACCTCACTGGTGTATGTTGCATCCTGTCTCAAAGAGCTATGTGTAGGAAATAAAGGAGTATTTATATCTCACATTGAAAATAGGGAGGCAGTTGTCAGAATATGTGCTATTTCACTTTGTGGCATTTGCTTCACTTCCAAGAAAGAGTTACCAAATAGAATTTATTGGCTCTGCACTTATGAAGGTTGATTGCTGGCCAACATTTCATGCAACATGAGATTCACGTAATCTTTCACCTTCTCCTGTGCAGCTTTAACCGAATCGACCTGCCTCCATATGAAACACAAGAAAAACTCAGCGAGAAGCTAACCCAGGCCATCGAGGAGACTTGTGGATTCGCCGTGGAGTGACTTTCATCGCATAGTTTCTTTTTAAAATCTTCTGCATCGGCCGTTGCGTCATCTACGACAGAACAAGTGGCTGCACTGCCGCCTCGCCATCAGATGGCGCACCTGTTGGGCGTTCTCGAAAGCTGCTCGACATGTCGACGCCATGTCTTGTAACGAGACGTATCGCCAAGCAAAACAGCTATTGCATCGTCTGACGTGTCCCAGTGTGTTTGGATGTATTGCAGAAGCCATTGACTTATCGCTTACTGGTGTGGCGCGTGTGTGTGTGTTTGTGTGCGCGAAATTTTAGGTGAACAGTTGTACGGGTCTCTGTATTGTTTGTCTTTACGTTGCATTGCTTTTGGACCGCTCACCTTGTCGTGGCTATTGAACGATGCATATATGTGTGCATATACTCGCAATTGACTTGCACGAGAGAAAGAAAAGGTTATCACGTGTGATAAGAAGTTATGTTATCTGACATAGAATGACACAACAAAACGCAGTTGTCTTCTTTTTTTTTTTCATACTGTCACTGCCATCACAACAACAGAACAATGAGGAGAGTTTTTCTATCTCTGCCTCTTTCTTCTTCTTTTTTTTTTATTTCAGATTTTGCTTGGCAGGTGCTCCATTCTCGGTTCATTAAGTTTTTGCATTGTACAAAGTTGTCCGCGCTATTCCTCGTCTACGCTTTGTGGCAGAGGCACTTCCGCCTAGGATTGCATGGTTGGTGCTCGGTTTTCGAGCTCAGTCTTCTGCTCTATGCAAGATTGTCAAGGTTTGCAAGAAGATTGGTGCACTCTTTTTTGTTGTTGTTATTGTTGTTGTTCCACATTGATGCTGAGCAAGGAGCTCTTGAGAATGATGCTATCTCATTTCTGTACATAGTCACAATCCGTCGCATGTCTAAAAACTTTGACACACACTTCGCTTCTCTTACTTTTTTGAGCCCGAACACATCGTCTAGTTACAAAGCAAATAGTCTTGTTTACTGCTAATTGCTTTAATTGACTTGGTATCTGTTCTGTTTGTAATTTGCTGCTGTACTGTATCGGGCATGTTGTCTTTTGTAAAAGAAAAAAAAAAGCATGTATGATTCTTTCATGGTAGTTCTTTCTTGAGCGACATGTCGCGAAAACACTAGGGTCTCATAGATGAAGTTTTTTCTGGAGGCCACACAAACCTTCGCTGTTGGAATAACTCGTCACAAGTTTGAACTGACTCTCGACTGCCAGCTGTCTTAATTTTTTGCGCTGGTTTGTTGGTGGAAGACGGCTTGGAACGGCTCCGAACAAAATCATACGCAGCTGAATTCAGGCATTTCGTTTTTTGGGGGATTCGAGTGGCGCTTTGATTTATTTGACGTAGTCTTCACAGCTGCGCATTTGTCAAGCGAACGAAACAACGATTTGCTGTGATAGATCAAGAAATAATGGCACTGCTTGTTGAGCACATACAACAAATGTTGACTCAAGAAAGTGATAACATTTCTATTTTTGTATAACTTTCTTTCCGTCACACGCTGTGCAAAGTAGCTTTTTTTCTTATTATTTTTTGCAGTGCTTGCTTAACGAAAGATGTGTGTCATTGTGCTTTGTAACTTCGCACCTTATTTAATGGACTGCTTCTACATATATTGTAGCGATGTATCTTTTGGATGGCTTGTTTTTTTTTTGCTTATTGTTTTCATGCACTGTGTGTTTCTTGTCGTATTTTTTACTACAATGCATTATATGATAATTATTATATCACTCTATTTCCATTGCTTTGGAGCCGCCCAAACTAGGGTTGTGTGAAGCAGGCGTCACACTGTGACGCTTGTTTGTCTGTTATTGCAGCAACTAGTCCCACGTGTCTTTGCCCACATTTAAGCAACTTTGCTGGCAGGATAGTTGGCGATGTGTAGTTCGTGTGTACTACAACAGAATGAACACATTACGAGAAAACGTAGAAGGCGCAGAATGGTGTGCCACGCCATGTTCTGTGCCTTTCCTGTTTTCTTGTTACGCATTCGTGTTGTGTACCCATGAACTGTGCCCCTCATTTAGGCTTTTTTTTTTTTTGTTTGTTTTCAGACATACGGCGCAATCATGCATATAGCTTAGCACCCACCATTCGTGGCCATTTCACATTCAATCGCATAGTGAAGTTGTGCATTCTTGGAAGTCTTACTGTGAATGTCATGTGACAGTCATATGGTCACACATGTGACACTCTGCCATATGACACCATCAGACAGTCGCATATTTGCATATATGACTCGCACGACACAGCCATGTGATGGTCACTTGTGACTGTCGCATGTTACTTCTTTGTGACAGTCTTATATCGACTCGTATGACTGACATGTTAACACATGCGACTGTCACGTGTGACACTCTCGCGCTTGCACATGCGACTTACACGTGACGTTCACAAGTCTTTCCCCTGTGCTGCACGAGTGCACCCTTTCACAAGTTTGGCTTGCAACTAACGACCAGATCTCACACGGTGCCTATGCTCCTGCACTTCTGCTCTCACCAATTCGGTGCAGTGCAGTGATAGCTACTGGTTGCATCAGCTTCTCGGAACAGAGAACCAAAGGAAGTACTCGCTCCTCTATTGTTTGCTTCTGATTGCCATTCGCATGACACCAGCTGAATAGAAGTGTAGGGGAGCATTTAGCAGATGATTGAATGTGACTACATTTTCTCAACCAGCAGCCTGCATTCACTACTGATTGCCCGACAAGGGTAATAGCCTTCGCTGAACTTCGCGTAATTGGCGAGACAGAGTGCAGCATCATTATACTCAAGGACAACTTTCTGTGGCAATGTAGGGAAGGCTACGAAACCAAAGTGGGTTTGTGCCACCACTGAAGAATATAGTCCCACAAATGTGTCTGTGTTTTTGGTGCGAAAATCACAAAATTAGCATTACGTTATTTTCGTCACGATGCTGTTTATAAAGAGACATTGAATGAACCAAGGAGGTATAATTATTTGTTTTGCTTTATGAAGTGTAATTTCACATTTTGCACGTTCAAAAACATCTCACATTTTAAGTGCACCTCATAGTCAAAATGGGGTCATCACCTTTAGGTAAGCGCGCGTTGCTCTTTAGCTATTCCAACAACTCGCCGAAGAAGCTTGTGTCGAATTTCTCTCACAAATGGCTGTGCAAGCAGATGTAGCAAGTTCCGTGCTGTTATTCGGGCATGGCCGTCATTCGAAAAGCGAGTCTAGCCGGACTACTTCGCATAAAAGTACATGTGCTCCACCCCCGTAGCTTTCCCTTCGTTGCCACAGAAAGTTGTCCCCAAGTGTAGGTGCGCCTGAATCATTTCTTTAAAAAAATATACTCTTGTTTGTGTGTTTGTCTCTTGACCGCTTAATGGTTCAACTTCAGTCATGTGCATTAGATTGTTTATGATTCAGACTTCAGTAATTATAAATTGTTGGCAACTACAAGGATTGTCAGAAATTCATAGGCGAGGCATGTTATCTATGCAATTTGAAGCTACCTAATTCGAACGAACGAGTGCCGGTTTCATCCTGACCTTTGAGGATTAAGTAAGTTTAAGAAAAGGATTGTTACTAACTATGCATATTCAACTGCTGTGCAATGAATAAGAAAAAAAAAAGAGAAAAGGGTTATGAAAGTTCATGAGCACACATGTCTCCAGGTCATCTTACGTGCAGTTAATGTGCAAAGGTGCTGTAATTCCTTTCGTTTTCTCATCATTGACATAGAGCAGACTTGTTGAATGTTTGTTACTTGTTCACTCTGAAGTAACGATCTTGGCTAGCAAATATTTTGAAGACTGAATTGTTGAACAGCGTTCATCGCACATTTTTTTTTTACTTTTCAACCAAGGCTTGTGCTTCATTCTCAACATGTCATGTTCACAAACACTCTACGCTCTATCTACACCACCAATGTGATACACATAACATTTGTAAAACATACTGCGGCTGCATTTGACTTCTTACTAGCACCGCATTCAGAGTGCTTGCCTCTCTTCATCGACGCTCCTCTTTTGACAGTTTCGTCAGCGGAGCTCAAAGTCATTTCACATTCCAAGCAAATTATTGGCGAGGAGTTGGCGCCTGCGCTCCTGCCAAGTTAGAATAAATAATAAATGAAGCGAGATTCGATGTGTTGCAAGCTTCGCAAGACTGATTTCACTGAAACAAAAAAAAAAAGCTGCAAGTTGCTACGTTTGCAACTGCAGCCTGCAGAGCAGTCACATTGCGGCTTCATCTCTCGACGTTTCAAATCCGGAGTTGGGAACAACTCGTTCTTGGCACTCTGGGTGGAACTACCAAGTCCGATGACTGATGCTTAGAGTCTTCTTTTTTTGTTTTTCATTGTGTAGAAACTTTTTTCCACATCTTCTGACACTGCCATTAGATGGCCCAGGCTGCTCTGCTGTACTTATAAAATACCTGACGTAGCATTTTGTGCAGCCGGCAACAACATAGTTAACATTTTCCGCGTGTCTCGAGCGCGCCCTGTTCAAGCTGTTTTGAAGGGCGTCTCGGGGCCCTTCTTGCGTATTTTGAGGGGGTCACCAAGGGGTTGTTATATCTTCCACTGTTCTCGAAACATGGGAGAGAGCTTCTATGCGAAAAACATGTTTGGTCTGTTGTTGAAAGTGTCTCGCACGACGACACCTTTCTTGCGCCCCTCTCGTCTTTTTCCAGATTTCTAGGGGGAAAAAAAGGTCCCGACGTTCAGTTGCCTGTCTGCTGACGTTGCGAGAGAGCACAGAGCGCATGACTCAAATGTGTTGTCTGTGTGGACTTTTTAGATGACTGTACAAAGATAGCGAGGAACTCCTGTTGATGAAATTTCTTGCCACACTTCTGGCCTCGAAAGGGCAAAACGCCAACTTAGCTGAAAAGTACCAGGCAGCATTACGGTGGCTTTTATTTGTTTGTGTGGCCTGAATGTAACCATCCTTCCAAGTTTGCTCGAGGAAGCAAAGGTGTAGATGCTTGAGCTTGTGACTCGATTGTTTCGATTGTTGTGCTTGGTTGTTATGGATGCCTTTGTATGTGTGTGTGTGTATGCCCTTACGCTTCACTTGTCTTCTGGTCATACGGAATGTTGTGTTGCCGAGACAGGCCTGTTCGGTTGGTTCCTTACGCTTGCAGACAGATTTGCGTGGAGGTGGCATTTCATGGTGTGTGTGGTTGAATGCAGAACTTGTTTTCTATGTTCCAAATTGACCACGTGTTAAAGTAATATTGAGAAAAAAAAATGTATCCCTTCCGTAAAGTAAGCACTGGCACTGCTTGTTTATGGAATAAATATTGCACCTTACGTCATCTTTACAGTGGGCGTTCCATTTTTTGTAGAGCGGGTGTTTCTGTCATTGGTTTTCACCACGATGAAGTGGATGACGCGTACTCCAGGCCCTTGACAAAGGGGGCGATTGATCTGTTGCAGCCATTGTGGTAAATAAAATGCACTGCAAAATGCCACCTCAGTGTAAACGTTTGGCTGTAAACAAATTAGCAATGGAGGCAGTGGAAGCTGTTTGCACCTCTCTCGCTTTTCACATGCAGCACTTATCAAAAAGGCCGTAGATAAGGAAAGTGATGTTCTCACGTAGATTTTTTTTGCTTCACCCTGAGTTTATGAAAAAATGCTGTAAGAACTCCTTCGTTGTACCAGGGGCACTTCTCAGTTCCGTCTGCAAGCGATGCAAAAGGTCCCGAAGCAGTGTGCAACTTTTCACTGCCACCAAAAGAAGCGCAAAACAGAAGTAGACATTGCAGCTTTTCGAAAGTCCACAACAAACGCTGCTAGACAGCCGCAACTGCACCACGGCTTGTGCCTTGCGACTCATTCGTGTTTTAGGAGCCGAGACTTGGAAGTTTTTATGTGGTGCGAATGTTAGTGTTGAGTGCTGCGAATGCACATTTCTGGCACACTCTTCCACGCAGTGTGTCAGCTGTTTCGTGTCAGCACATTGCTTTTCGTGTATAAAAAAAAAATCTTATTATGACTCGTGTTTGCACCTCACATGTCCTTCCTCTTTGGTCTTGAGAGTGCGGACAACTTTTATTGTAGACTGTGAGCCCTCGAAATACTTCCAT